GGCTTCTTCTTTCCAGTTGCTTAAATTGGAAAATTTACTGCGATGATCATACTTTACTTTCATCTACTACCGCAGTTCAAATATGAATTATTTCATATATACTTCAATCAATCTTTATTTGCACTCATTCTTGTTAAAAAAATATATATATATTGCAATTGAATTGCAAACACAAAGTTCTACAATGTGTGGTTCCAGAATGTATCCATACCCACCCAAAGGAGGGGTATTGGAAATTCCAAGGGGGAGGGGGTGGGGGTGGGGGGTCTCAAAAGCCTATTTTTGAACAGGAGAGTAAATGAATCAAAGCTCGAGAAAGTGGAGGGAGGGGTTCCAAACAAGAAAAAAACTTCTGTGGGAGGCTTATGGTTTTTCTGGAACACATGTAATGATCATTTCTACACTTAACAACCTGTGCAGATTCATATACAGTATTGTGCAAAAGTAACACAAACGAATTTTGACGAAATTCGTGGCTTTTTGAAGAAATTTCGCTTGAAACGATATTTCCATGAAATTTCCTCGCATTTTCATGACACCTATTGTTTTGATCCATGAAATTTTTCAAACGATAATTCACTTTACATGATGATTCACTGCAAATTTTCAAGCGATAATTCACTTCTCCCGAAAAGTCGCTGCGATTTTTTGAAGGATAATTTGCTCTTCCCGAAAATTCGATCTACTGTTCATCAATAGGCCAAGAGCGTTTTTAGAACACAGTTCGCTGAGTGAAATATATGTGACCTTTCCAATCATTGCACACGAAAGAAGCCATTAATCTGCTGAAATAGCATCACAGCTCAACAAAATGTTAATTGAAACTCACCTGGTTATTTCAGAATGCTAAATTGTTGACTTGATCCAAAATCCCAAAACACCACAGTTCCGACAAATAAATGCAATTGTACTTAATCACTATGTTATACACTTGGCAAAATGCCATTTTCACAGCATGTAGAACCACACGATTCTTCTTGCGCCAGACCCCAGTCTCCGCACCAGTTTGGTGTCATAGCGACCGTTTGTGTTTACTACTTAGACCAGAAATCATTTGCTCATTCGCTTTACATTTAAAGCACCTTGATGGTCAGTCATCATGTTTTCAAATTATACGAGAATTCGAATCGAGCTCCTTCACAAGCAAGATCTCCACCCAGCTGGAATATTCAGGTCATTGAAGAACGAAGGTTTACTAGTAAGCCTCGCTAGCATCTCTCAAATCATCAAGAAACTACAAATTAGTCAAATTACTGGCTCCGTGGTGAATCTACCATGCTTGGGAAGACCAACAAAGTTGTCTGTAGATGCAAAAGCATTTATAGATCAACAGATGCAAAAAATGATGAGACTACAACCGAACAGATTCAGAAGAAGCTTGCAAAATGTGGGATTGCCATGAGTTTGTCCACCATACAAAGATCTCGCCAACAGCAAGGCTGGACTCTGCAGCGGACTGCTTATTGTCAGCTCATCCAAGATCTCGCAATATTAGAAGGTCACACATCAGTTCTCTAGTTTTTCTGTGATATATGTAATATTCTCGTTACGCCGTAATACAAGAATTTTCATATTAAAGCAAAAACTCGTTATAAATTTTGGAAACAGATCGTTCTTGCAATCATCCATATCTGTTTATCCCTGTAAGTTAGAGTCCCAATGATTATTATTACGGCAACGTAAACGGAGCGAAATAATTGTAAACACTTCAAAGACTTAAAGCAACACCCAGTGACCTCGTCCCGGGTTGTTAGAAAGGTGGATAACGTTATCCAGCCTTCAAACAACTTGGGCCAGGGGCCTGTTTCTTGAAGGTCCCGAAAAGTTTTCACACCCAGAAAGCTGTAGCAAAACCTCAAACCCTATGATTACAGCGCTGTTTTATTGGCATATTCTTAATATGAACAGAGGTTCTCTTCATACAAGACGTTTCAGGAGTATACACCTCTCGGTTTTTAGGTACAGATTATCTAAAAATGGCTTTGCAGGCCCGAAACTTTAACAGACAACCGCGAGGGGGCTGATCAGGGCATGAGATGGAAATAAACAACAGCCAAATGGATTCGCGAGCGTGCACAAGTGTTCAGATTGAAAAACCCTCATGGAATGAACTGAGCTCATTGTCTTCATAAGGTGGTTTGACAGTGTATTCTAATTCCTTGCGTATGAAACTGGGCCCACGCTGAACTTGAGCAAGCAAAGCTGGTTGAAAGCCTTTTGCAAATTTTAGGTGAGTAAGATTGCTATCCCCTTAATCGGTGACCATGACTGCAAACCGGCACGTATTTACAAACAGCTTATCAGCACGTATTTACAAATTTATCGCTTGTAAGTTACACAACAGTTTATTCGTATGAGTCGCTAAAAGAAAATTACACAAACGCTGCCGGACTGTCGTTCAATGCGAAATTTCGTGTACTGCCTGGCAAATTATCGTTTGTGCTCACGAATTTTCTTTAGCTTAAAGAAACTTCAAAGAAAAATCACCCTTTCTTCAAGTGAATTATCACTCGATACGCCATGAAATTTCACTCGAACTCTTGTGCGAACTTTCGTCAAAAAGTCACGGGAACAAAGAACGAAACTCATGCATTTCGCTTGCGTTACTTTTGAACAATACTGTACTTTTAATTTTTATTATTTAATCTTTTACTTACAATGCTTTTCTGTTTTGGTATTTCTGGTGCAAGTAACCTTGAAGTCTCACTGGCTGAACCAAGCATAGCCTCTTGAGACATTTGACAAGGCACATTATCATCAACTTCTGAGCTTGATTCACCATCGGACTTCTCCACTGGGTTACACTCTGAACTAAATAGCCATCCTTCAATTA